GCTATTATTGAAGCGATACAGAAGTCACCTGAAAGGATGACGGCTAAGCGCACATCCAATAAGTAACGAGAGTAGACAATAATTAAATAACAAATAACCACATATATTTGAAGTTCTTCAGAGAGTATCTTAAAATTAAGTGGTAACGGGGAGCCTAAAATACTAATGGCCGGCGAAGCGGCATAAAACAAAATGGTTAAACTAAAGTGGTCACTCTGTTAAGCTAATTAAATAATTCATTATTTACAGAGTGGAACAGATCTAATTGACAACTCATACAAATTATAATCCACAAAACATTTCATACTTTTTTTTAAATAAATTTTTGTGATATAGGACTATATTTAAAATATGTTTTATATTATTTTTCTAATTTACAAAAAGTATTCTAAGAATTAAATTGTTTTAAGATTTGAAGTTTTGTATAGATAAGTTTTAAAGATAAATTTTGATACCCAAAAACTATTATTTTAATTCAGTAGTTACGTTTATACAGAATTTTAAAGTTTGTTAATTATTAATATTCTTTACGTTTTTCCTATGGTATCAAATGTCACTCCATATTATGTTAAGGACTGGAGTAAACATTATCTTTTTACGTTATTTACTGGTAATAGTATGCGATTTCTTTTCATGGATAATAATAACGTTAGAACGCACGTTTTATAGAAATGATTATCTCTAATCATTATTACAAAATGTTAAAAACAACAATGGTGAGTCAAATTAAAAGTTCAAATTATAAACTTAAAATGAAAGATCAATAGTACTCAACAAAGCCAAAAAAGATATAACCAAGATTATGATTACTCTAAGAGAAATTTAGTGTCAACGATAAATCAATCACTCTGTAAATATATTAAAATAACCTATTTAATTTTTTTTTTTTTTTTTTGAATATTTTAAGCAATTTTTAATCGACAGTTTTATATATTTATGAAGTTCACAAGTTAAAAAATGATTAATATATTTAAATTTTCAATTAAAAATTATTGGAGTACATAACCGGGATTCATACTTTTTGACAAAAATTTTATGCTGCCCGTCGACCTAACGCAATCTCATTAGTCGCCTCTTACGACTGACAGAGGGGTCATGAAAGTATTCTTATACCCTATCCACAGGGAAAAATACATATAAAAAGAAAATTCTATCAAATATAACAAACATTTCTGTTAAAAAAAAATTCAAAAAAGAATAACTTTAATGTGATAAAAGTGGTGCTTGAATGATCTGTACCGAAAATTGACTAAGCCGACATAATAAACAACATAAACTTTATAAATACAATTTATTTACAATACTAATACGAGATAAATAACAAATAGAAAAATTATCCAATCGAAAGGTCTATTAATAGCAATAATTTTAGTACATTTGAGCGACAAATTCAAATAAAATGTTATTATATATCTTATTCAAACTGGCAACATGGTAATGGAAGCGTAAAGTACGATTGTAATGCTCTGTCCATAGAAATTATACACTAAATGAAAGCAATGTTGCCAGTTTGCTTATAAACGAATTTCTTCGCCGGTGACCGAGAAACATAACTGAGTGACTATTGAGTAAGCTAGGATTTTTTTTATCTTTTTATTTGGCCGCCAAGTCACGTTCTCTCATGTAATACATTCACTGTACTAAACTTTTATGACACTTTAATTTTGTTTAAAAATTTTTTGATTATTTGAATTTTCCCTCTTGCCACTTGGCTAGATTTACTTCAGTGTTTATTTTTTTTAATATCTGTCCATCAAATTAAAAATAATCAAAGAATTTTTCACCAATTTATTGTTTAGCTTTCAATTAAGTTCTCTACTATTGCTCTTATGTAATATATTAGTAATCGTATTTTATCATTACACATTTTACTCGCCTAAGTATAAATATGGCAATAAGTTCCGAATTGAACTTAGTTAAGTACTGAATTGAAGTGACTGAACAATCATTTACTCAATTAAATAGAAGTCGAATTTATAAGTTATTTACAAAATTAAAGTTAGTTAATTAATATTATATTAGTAATCAAAGCCAAAAAATAATATTTTCAAGATTATTATTATTTTAGGAGAAACTTAGTGGTCAATGATAAATCAATCATTCTGTAGGGCTTTTTAAATAACATTTTTAAAACTTAAGTAGTTAATGGCCCATCAAATTTTGTTGAAAAAAATAGAATAAAAAATGGTTACTTTATAATTTTGAAACTTTGACATTGAAATCAATTTTTGTTCTAAATAGAAAAAAATAATAATAAACATGACTTTAATGTAGTTCAAAATTGTAAAAATTATTATCATAAAAAGTAACGTAAAATTTTCGCTGGTTTCTTAAGTTATTAATTCGCTAGATTTATATAATTTCAGAACATTGTGGGACACTTTCTATATAATTAAAACGGGTTGTGTATCGAATACCTTTTTTTTAAATTTACACCTCTCTCATGTATACTTCATATTTTAAATGGTATAATAGAAACAATAGGATTTCAGTGGCCCGATGTTGATGGAAAATTATTTTTGAAGGTGTCTAGTTAAGTTTTAAAATTAAAAAATGTCTAGTATTATCCCGATAATTTTAATAAAATAAACAATTTAATCTCAAATTTTGAAAGTGCTGTTTCTATTTTAAAAGCTTTTGTATTTTAAATGTATCTTATAATTGTGTAAAAAAATTTTTTATTAATAAAAAAATTATGTAATTTGAAACTCAAGCATGGTTTTGAAAGAAAATATAAGAACTGATGAAAAACCAAAGTATAAATTGGATACAACAGAAGGTAATACGAGAATTTAAAAAAAAAAGAGAAATTGTATACACGAAAAAAATTCTGAACTAGAAGATTTGAAAAAATTAAAGCTATACTCGATGGAAAAAACACAAAAGAATTGGAAGTAAACTTTACACTTCTTGATATAGTAAATATGAAATATGCTCCTATTTCTTTAGTTGAAGTAAAACGTTTGCCAGTGCAAAAACATTTTATGATAAAATCACATAAATATGAATTTTTTAAATCTAAAATAAAATAAATGCACGGTAGAATTCAGCCAAGTATTACTATTACTATTTTTTATTAGTTACGGATAAAATAATTTATTTTTATTTAATTGTTATGATTGTATTTTTTGTTTACTAAATAAATATCAAGGTGGTTATTAAATATTTTGAATTTTTATTATATTTAAATCCATTGCCTGGTTATTATTATTGTTCCAGGTCGGTATTAAAGTTCGTAAGAAATTAAAAAATGAGTTTTACACATATACAGGCCGCTTATACTGGTTTGTAATAGTTTTTCAAATGTATAATTGTTTATGAAAATTAAAACTTAGTTTGAAATTTTTAATACATAAAAATCAATTAAAAAAAAAAAAAGAAACAAGTCGAGAAAATGTTAATAATTGAAATAATATCTGTTGATACAATAGAGGCGATAGCAATGAAAAAATTGCAATCATACTTTCATCTCGGTGCAAATGAAACGAAAACGATTTGTTGAAAACAAAATTACAATAACCATATGCGTTGCGTTCGGTATTAGGCACACAAAAAAATCACTAACAAAGCGAATGCGTGGTAGGAGTGTTCACTGAAGAAATACATACGTTTGTGTATTTTTAGACCCCTCGTAGCGTTGGCTTAATTACTGTGGCCGCAAGAAATTCCTATGGTAATGTGACCATAAGAACACCGTTTGACAATAATCAATTGGAATGTGTTTAATTTGTCATTGCTCAATGGGCAAGTCGATTAAAAATAAACATTTATGCGTTTAGAAGTATTCACAGAGACTGGCCGTCTAGTCAATACCTTTGGCTCGGGACGCGACAGTGTAATCGTTCAGGGCGCGAAGAGAGACTTACCCGAAGGGATTTGCCTGGACTCGATCTACCGTGTCCCCCGGGGACCGACCAATTATATTGAGCGCAATTATAGATACTCGATAGGCAATAACAACACACGGCCATAATCATCGGCAGACGCGGAATTAGATTTTAAGCGGCAAAAACGTAATGTAACGTAACGTAATGAACGAGCGCGCGCTTTGTACACGAAACAGTACAGTTGTACCGCGCGGCCGGTGGAGAATTACGCTAATGACCATCGGCGTTACAATAATGTCCGCATTACAATACCTAAAAGTCAAGCCGCCCTCGTGTAGGAAATATAATAATAGAGTAATCCAATCGCTGACGTTTGGAAACGTTTTAATGGCACTGTCATCACCATAAAAGCAGAACACAATTCCCAGTGACAAAGTTAAGGACAATAAAAGCTGAGGTCGAGACTGTGGCAATGTCATAAACGATAGCACAGACAATGGTGTTGGAGAAAAAACAAAACGAAATATATTGGCTTTTATGTGCCACATAGTGCTAGACTCTCTCAAAACCTTATCCCGTCTATTGGTTTTAGTGGCATAATATTTTATTTGTTTCTCCACAACACACGCTCGTTTTATCATATGCGAACATTCGCCGCACGTTTGCGCCTACACGATTTCAGACACACGACAACGGCGGAATCTTGTTCGGCGCAATAAAACTGTAATTCGATTTTTTTGCCTTAACTAATATTTTCACTGGATCATCGACAACCGACGGCGATCGACGTTTTCTTCTTATTTCGTGTCACGACAATGGACACGTTTCAAACACACACTCAGTTTTTTAAAAATTACATACAGCTACTTATCCGTTAGTATAGAGAACAATATGATTTCTACGTGACGAGTTTTTCAAAATAAACAAACTCAATAATGCAATACGAGTCGAAAAATACCTCGTCGAGTATGAAAGTACTGCACAAGTGGATAAGAAAAACAAACGTGTACTTATATTTTAATAAAATTTATAACCTCAAACCGCTTTTAGGAACAATTTTAATACGTCAGCAATTTTACATAGTTGTTATTTAAATATACTTATGATATTGACAGTAAAATAAACATACTACAATAATTAATACCTACGGCAATAAATGCATAAAAAAAAAAAACAGTCACATTACACGTACGAACATTTATTTATAAGTTTGTTTTGAAATTTTACAATTTTTATTTTTTGAAAGTCTTACTTAAAAAAAAACACGCATTTCCTTAAAACCAATAAATTTTCAATGCATTTTTTTTTTTTCTTTGACCTTATGATAATTACATTAAAGCGATTACTTTGTAAATAGAATATACACATTTTATAAACATTTGAATATGACCTTGATATGACTTATAATATCCTGTAATTTAATAAAAAAATCAAATATATAGAATGTTTCACTATAATAGGTAAAACCATGAACATTAAAGCGATAAGATCTCAAAGAATAAATAAACTATTTTGAAACTAGTTTTAATAAACGTATTATACACGCATAATTTTTTAATTTGTAAATGACATAAAATCGCATTACAGAAAAACCAGTACGATTTTTAGTTGAAATAAAATTTTTCATTAATTTATTTACAATAGTAAACGTAAAAAAATTATTTGGATTTTTACATAGTGATAAATATAGTAACTGGGATATATTGTCAAATAGTTTAATCTCAAAACCGCATTCTGATTTAATTAAAATTTCTTTTGAGCACAAAATGTATTTGTTTACTTTTTACAAGACTATACAAACATCGTGTAACAATGATGAACAACATTAACCTAAGTGTTTATAGTATACAAAATATATTACATTAAATATGAAATTAACAAAATATATTTTTTAGTAATAGAAAAGTTATAATTTTTGTTTATTTTGAATAATTTATTAAATAAAACAAGTAAAAATCGAAAAATATATTATATTGAGTTAGACAAATAGTACCTGACACATTAAATTTTGAAATTATCATCATTAATTGTGCAAAACTTAGTGAAAACGTTTCCAGATAGTCAGAGAATTTTAAATGTTGATGTTATAATTGAAAATCTCAGGCAAACTACTTTAAAATAAATTCTTTAGGAAAAACTTGAAAATCCAATGTAATAATTTCAAAAGTTCTTTGTCGTGAGTTGCGTTTTAGGAAATCTTTTTATCACATTCGGGCCATTTTTTGCGCGAATCCAACGGCCGTCTCGGAATTACTTTGAAAAATAACACGACCCTTTTCGTGCTAAACCAAAAAACGTTTTTCGACGCCTGACGAAACTCGTAAAGCCCAAGCGCATATACATATTCGGTGTTATAACGACGCGTTATTTTGCTTCATTTACTTTTTTTTTTTACCTTGGAATGATTGCTGGATAAATTGACCCGATTGTTTTTTGCTATGGGCTTTTGTGGATTTCGAACTCGACGAATATACACTAAACCCGCTAACGTTGATTTTTATTTATGGCGACTATGTAATACAAAACGATACTATCATATCCATAACAATATAATACAAACGTTCATCGCAAGCCAGTAACTGTAAGCGAATACCTTTTTATCCAACGCCCGACGTTAGATCTGATTACCTAAAGACAATCAAATTAACACGGGAGCTGTGATGTGTCGCATGTGGTGGGCCTAATAATTATCTCCGACTCATATAAGTAATATAATTCACTATTTGACGTAACATAAATTATCCCTTCGTGTAATGTTTTATTCACAAGGTAGTTTTATGATTATTAATATTCGCGGACGCAAGAAAGTTTACAAAGGTTTTTCATTAGTTTACGTGAAAGTTTTTAAATCAGTTCAGGAAAATTTCCACCGCTCAATTAATAGTTTAGATATTGTTTAATTGTGCTCAAAAAAGTTCAACAAAGACCACGAAAAAACGCGGAAATATTTATTTCTAATCAATTCTTTCATCTAAATTTACTGAAATCGTTTAACAATCATTGATTATTTTTGAAGTAATGTCAAAAAATACCCTATTGTGCATTTCACATTAGTAATTTAAGCTTAATGAAGAAAATTTTATTGTATTTTAATTTCAAGGGATAAATTTAACGCGGCAGTCCCTAATGCACACGGTCTCGGGTTCAAAACTCAGTCACAAGCGGTTCCATTTGCAGACCATTTCAGTAAATTGAGATGCCATCACTCTCTTCAGCGATGGAATACCCTCCCGCCCGGAGACTAAATGGGTAAGAAACCTTTTCTNTTCATTGATTATTTTTAAAGTAATGTAAGAGACCTAGTCAAAAAATACCCTATTGCGCATTTTACATTAGTAATTTAAGCTTAATGAAGAAAATTTTATTGTATTTTAATTTCAAGGGATAATTTTAACGGCAAGTCGGTAACGCGGCAGTCCCAAATGCACATGGTCTCGGGTTCGAGACTCAGTCACAAGCGGTTCCATTTGCAGACCATTTCAGTAAATTGAGATGCCATCACTCTCTTCAGCGATGGAATACCCTCCCGCCCGGAGACTAAATGGGTAAGAAACCTTTTCTTTGTGAGAAACCGTAATGGCTTAATGTCAGTGAAAAGCGAAAATTAAACGAAACGTAATTGAATATATTATACAAAAGTGATTTTTCATCACAAACTAATTATTTAATTGAAAAATATATTGGTTATTTAATTGTTTTTTATTTATTTTAGTTACATACTTTTCTCAATTTATCAATCATGAAGCATTTTTTATATTCATCTTTTATAAGAGCGTCAACTTTATTTTATTTTTTTTTTTAATGACAATTAATAAAGTTAATTTTTAGAATATGATCTAATTAAGAAAAATGGGTTTTTTGCATCCGTATTTCAGAAATAATTATCAATATTAGTTCAATTTTTTTATTAAATGAGCGGTTCTTGATAAAAAAAATCTCTATATATATATATCAATTTAATAATTACAAGACATTACTTAAGTCATACTTATACTTCATATTATTACACTAATGATTTCTAAATTTTTTCCTTTGAGAGATTTCTCTCTTTAAAATAATTATTTTTATATTCAAAAATAATATTGTAATATTTATTTATATATAATACATTTTTTAGTTTTTTGGAGATGTTATCATAAAACTTTCTTGAGATTGTACGCTTCAAACATAAACCTCGAATAATAATAGAATATTATATAAATAATAAGTTAAAAAAATTCTTTTTAATATATTTTATAAAATTTACTTTTTTTTTTTTTTTTTGACTGAACTGATACCAAAAATTAGTTAAAGTAAAGTAACTAAGTTTGTCTAGTTTTCATAAAATATTAGGATTACAAATTATTCACCATAACATTGATTCGGTCAAGAGATCTAAACAAACCATTACTTGACTGGTCTAATAATTTCTGTTGTTGATGGGTTCTTAGCCAAATTTTTATGTAACTCGTAGTTCGTCTTCGAGGTTTTTTATTTTTACTAGAAACGATTTCCCTGACCGCCGTATTTTGATCGATTGTAGGCGATTTGGACTCATTCCATGTATGTGCTAGTCTCCCAGGTATGAACATAATGTTCAACCAATTTGCATATATTCTTCGGTTTTCAATGAGATCTTGTGAATCACGTGATAATTTGAGACCATTTTGAGATTCTTTTTCGATAGTTTTTAATTGATACTGAGATTTTTTCCTTCTACTGGAACATCTCCTACTTATTGAAAATCTTACACTATCATTTCTCCGGCATTGCTGACGTCGAGGTGGTCTAGTTGGTTTCTCAGTGTCTAATCTGGTCAAAATAACGTAACGCCACTTATCACCTTCTAATTTTTCTGGATCCGCCGGGATTGGATAACTAATAGTTGGCTTCGTTTTTCTGTTTAAAAAAATATCGAGACAATTAGAAATACATTCTAATTCATAGCATTCATAAAAGAAAGAACCATAATATCATTATTTTGATTACAAATAAATATTTATGATGTCTCACGTGAGATTCATTTTTAAAGGTAATAAAATATTTATAAAATTTGACAACATGCATAGCAAATATATATATATATATATATATATAAATAGTAATGTATTTTATTGAAATATTAGGTTACTAAGATAAATAATAACAAATCTAATGAAGAAACAAATATATTTTTAATAGTATAAATAAAACAAAATTGTCAACTATAAAATACAACAGTAGCAATTATAAAATCAAAATAAATATTGCTGAATGGCTTGCTCCAATGATTAGTGCGCATATCAAATTTGTAAATGACAAGCGCACAAATGCCTGATAGAATTTTCAACGCGCTTGTTTTTTATTTGCCAACAGTTTTCAATATGTAACATTTTATTTAATTATAAACCCCAAGGAATAAATAGGGGGGCTTAATCTTTCCAAATAGTTTATTAGCTTTTCAAAAATTTTTTTTATTTGTTGATGCGTAAAATAGTTTTAAGAGTGAACAAATAATAAAACCTCAATGAAGCCCCTACAAAAAAAATATTATTTATAGAAATAATCTACAATGTTGTACTATGTTATTGTAGCGCGCAATTATCACGACACCATATAGTTAAATTAGTTTAATTCTTGCAAATTAATTCATTTTTGTGAACATACTAGTAAGCTATACATATTTTGATCATGAAATTTATACAAAAATTTAGTTTACTTATTTTCCTAAATACACAATCAAGTAAGATAAATTCAAGTAAAAAACAACTTCTACGATAGTTAATTTGAAACAAATTTATTTACAAAATGTAAAAGTGGGATGTAATAAATTTAAATACTGGAATTTATTATAAATATACGGTAACATAACATGTTTCAAAATAAATAGAATAATAGGAATATCAGAATGTTAAAGTTTTATCTTAGTTCATATTATAAACTATGAATTAAATACATTCTGATATGAATTGAAAAAGCTACAAAAAGTAATGTAAATCTTTTATAATATTGTATAAAAATCGTTTTACATTATTTAAATGATATATATAATTATCATAACGTCATATATAATTGCTAAAAAATCATTACTTTTTAACTGATCGAAGACAATAAACGCAATTGCTTTGAACAAGTAGTAATTAATAACATCTAAATAAACTTTTATTATTCGTAAGCCTAATATAACCGTCGAGTACATTAAACAGTAAAAATGTCTCAATCAAATAATGAATATAAAGATGAGTTTCTGTAGTAAATATATCATGGTAACATGTTTACAAAATTTAAGAACAATAATATGCTTTGATTTTTTTAATACTAATTTTAACCCATTCAGCTGATTCAAATTCATTTTTTCTTAATAAATTCTAGAATTGATTTTTTTCCAACATTTGTTAACGTTATTAAAATTGTATTTAATTTTTTTTTTTATTATTATTATGGTACCTAATTTTCTTTTTAACTATGTAACTATTATTATATTTTAATTATACTTTCTTATATTTCAATTGCACAAAAAGTATAAAATATAATATTTTCATAATTTTCTAATTTATTTTATGTGAAAATTGGTATAATTCAATGGTATTGTGATCTTTCAGAGAGATCTTCTTCTTCTTCCTCGTCTTAATCCCAACTACTTGGGGTCGGCCACCCTTATCCTAAACTTCCACTTGACATGATCTCCCACATCCTCTACGCTCACATCAGCTGTCCTCATATCACATTCAATAGCATCCCTCCATCTCTTTTTTGGTCTTCCTCTACTTCTTCTTCCTTCAACATTCATTTCTATAACTGTTCTTACAGCTTCCGATTCTTCTCTTCTCATAACATGACCAAACCATCCAAATCTATTTTCTCTCATATTATCCACGATTGACGCTACATCTATACTCTCTTAAATGCTCGTTCCTTATTCTATCTTTTCTAGACACTCCAGTCATCCATCTAAGCATTCTCATCTCTGAATCGCTACACTCATTCTCTACTCTACTTTCTTATCTATCACCCCACACTCTGAACCATACATAATAGCTGACCTCACTACAGTCTTGTATAATTTACCTTTCAGCCTCATTGGAATTATTTTATCGCATAAGACTCTAGACGCTTCTCTCCACTTCAACCATCCGCACTTAATTCTGTGTCATAGAGATATTTCTTGAAAAAGTATTTTTAGGAAATGACTGATTTAATTAATAGAGAGATACATTAAAGAAAAAGTTTCAAATATTTATAACAATAATAAATGCTTTAATTGACATTTTTCATAATTTGCATAAATAAAATATAATAATTTTATCAATTACTATAATAACACTTCAAAAAATATTTATACTAAACAATATTAAGACTATTTTTATTGCTCATCACTTAATTTTAGAATGTAATATTACAGCCATGTGAAATTCCCATGGCCCCAATGGCTTTCTTAGCAACACTACTGTAGCACCAAATTTCAAATTAATTTTAATAAGGCACAATGTGACACAATGTTAAGCTATGCTATTTTTTATGATAATTTTTTTCCTAATTATTACTCTTAGATAAACTATTACATGAAAATTGTATGAATGCATGGTCCTAATATTAACATAACCACAGAATTAAGTTTTTTAAGAATGCATTTATATGTAGTCTAACATCTTAATTAAGTTGACTAATTTCAAATCAATCACGCGTTTATAAACAAAAATAAAACAAATATTTGTTTTTTTTTTCAATATTAATTAGATATTGTATGAATTAACATAGTTACCAGGCCGGATTAAGGAAGGAGGGCAAAGGTGAGAAATCCCTGTGTCCATAAAAAATTTTACTAGTAAAATTTACTAATTTAATGTTACTAATCGTAACAGGCTAGTAACCGGTTTTCTGTTTTTTATTTTTGCTCATTACTTTTTTTTGGTAGCTATGTTTTCTATAAGAGGAGTCCATTTCAAGGTACTGCTCCGGGGCCCATAAAGGTCTTACAGTTCTATTTATTTAACTCTTCAAATATGTGCAAATTAAGACAAATTGAAGTGAATTAAAATTTGTATATAAGTATGTAAAAATTTAATTCTTATTTCTTACTTTCTAGATTTAACGCGTTTTTTTATTTTCTCAGGCTGTTTGTCTGGGTAACTTTTCCACTAAAACAGACACATTACTTTTAATATAAAGTTAAAAACAAATTAATTAATTAGACACTTTTTATTAATTGAATTTTTAAATGAACTTTTACTAGTGAGGAACGTGGAAACCATTTTTATAATTAATGTACTATAATTAAATTGTTAATTAATGTATTATTATTAATATATTAATGTTATCGATAATTAATGAGGGGTTTAAATTTATTATTTAAGCTAATTTGGTATTTACACCTTATTATATAGAGTGTCTAGTAAGTAAGGTAATAGGTTTCTGTTGTTCTCATTTCTTTGTAATAATTGACCTATTTCCTTACTTTTTAAACACCTGTATATTTTAAATAGACATAAAAAATATAATCGAATGATTAGCAAAATTTTGAAATATTTAAAAAAAATCTGTGTCGGAGATAAATAGTTTTGTCAGGAAAACACACTAAAAGATCCCCTATGTATTTAATTTTAACTTAAATCATTATGGTAAAATTTTTGAATGTACCTCTAAATTATAACTCATTGATGCTATAAAACAATTTTTATTTTAAAGAACTTTGATAGAATTAATTCTTAGCGATGGAGTATTTTAGTAAATAAAATTGTCCGCCATGCAGAATCTCAACAAATTTGAAAAAATATTTAAAATCATAGGAAGTTGTAAAAAGATTTTTTTTCTTCTAAAATAATAAGTATATACTCTGATAAAAAATATTTTTTTTTCGAAAATACTATTTAATATTTTTACCTGTTTTACGTAATTAAATAACATCTTGTGGCAAAACCCATCAATCCCAAAAGCTCTGGGTTCTGCTTCTGATTTACACATGCCATTACCCATTTCGATAAGGTTTCTTGATGATGTTACTTAGAAGAGGCTTACAAAAATTTTAATTTTCATACCGCCAACGCATACAAGAAATAATATTAAGTTCAAAAACAACACAACGACCACAACAATCGCCAGTGACCGAGCGAATATCGTGAGTTGTTGATTAGATAACCTGCGACATCACATGGTAATCTCCCACTAGATTCACCGCACATATTTATCCGTGATGATCCGTGATGCTGTCCATTACTTTCCCATTCTGAATTAAGTAAACAATAAAATTAGAATAATGCGTACACTTGGATTAATGAAATCAGAATCATTAGCGCTTAAGATCTCGAAATTGAAAACAGCATAAATATTCAATTCGCATGAGTATTATTTCTTAATTATTAACACCTAGTTTGTTTAAGTATAACTTATACCACCTGTGTAATTACTTAATTAAAAATTGTACTTTAGTACAATTTTTCTGTTTATAATTCATATTTATGAACAATAAAAACTAGCTATTTTAATTTCAGTGAGATACAAAAAGTACACAGCTAACAATTTATTAAGTGGTTTTACACTTTAATCAAAGAGCAACTACCAGTTTGTGATAGACCGCGACATAATTATTTCAAAATACATGACATTTCCTAATTAGATGCGTTATGAATAACTTAAACTTTATTACTCAAATATATTTTATGTAACGATAAACAGACAGTGTAACTCTAAACAAACTCCGTAAACTGTTATAATCGACTTACGTTGTAATCAAATCGATTGCAAAATGTTTAAATAACTGATGCGCATCACTTAAATTTACGTTTTTTTTATTAAATACGCGATTTACGCAAATTTTTAATTGTGCAACAAAACGAAAATTCCATTTAGACTAATACGAGTAAACCAAATTAAAGATTCACTATTTAGAGTTAATCTACACTAAATAGTCTCTACTTTATCAAAAGGAAGTAAAAAATTATTACCATTTTTTTCAACGGCTAAATGGTCATAGTATTTCATGAAATATGAACAAATTAATCGGATCCATTAATATGCAGACCGACTAAATTGATTATAAAAATAACTCTATGAATTATTCAAAGCTGCAAATATCATTAAATACGTCAGCTTTTTGAATTTTTTCTTTATCGTTTATGCCATCCAGTTTTCTTGGGCGCTGTTTTCGTTAGTTTCTTGTAAAAAGAAAAAGTGTGGAAAAATGAACAAAACAATGAGAGCCAGCAAACTGATTAAATCGTATTAGATTAGTGTTATTTCTCTAACGAATATTGAGGCCAGGTGTCGAACACTAAAAAGGTCAAGAGATTTATAATTATATTGTAATCATTGAATAATATTTTTACTTAAAGTTTACTTTACAGTTAGTCAGTTTTCGATACACTATTTGGTCATAATTTAGCTATTATTACATATTAACCATAATAAATAGTAAAAAAAAAAGTAATAAATAAAACTTCAATAAAATTATTGACTTGCATTCATTAAAATGTTCTTTGAAAATAAAAATAAATATAAAATTATTCCGATGAAAACTTGTTTTAAGTAAAATTAAAAATGATGGTTTAAAATTATAGATAGTACCACTGAATAAAGAGTTAATTATAATTAGCTCTTGTTTTACAAAAATTCAGTGTGATTAAAAACCCAATCGTTAAAGGGGTTGTTTTACTTTTTAGTTTTGAACTTATCTTATTTTATCAGATCTTGGTGCCCCATAATTAGTTGATTTAATATAATTTGCTAAAATATTGATTTAAAGTTATTTATATGATTAAATTATTTCTGCTAAATAATCAAGTTTGTTTCGTTACATTATTTATATAGCCTTTTATCATAACATGTACATATATATGTAACTTTCATTTTCATCATCAAGAAGTTATAATTACAACTGATTACACTAATTAATTTAAAATAAATCATTGAAAATTTATTTAAACATATATTACACTAAATATCATCTAGTTTGACCTACATGTTTCAATGTAATATTTTTTTACTCTAAAAGAGCCACTTCGCCTCACCGTTTACATTGCAGTTTCACCGAAGTACTAAAAGCCATATCATGACAATAGTTATCGTATTGTCTGGTTATGATTTACCGGTAGTCTTTAAAGGTGTCATAAAACACAAGTCTATGAGTAATGAGCCCATAGATCGCCTAAGTTGGTATTATGTCTAATTAATAACGAAACAGCTGAAGAGTTACGCAGTTAACTGTATACAGTTATTATTAATTTAGATGACTGGACATTAACACGTTAGAGAGAAATTATGTGTTAGACTAGACGGTCACCTTAGACACATTTAACTGTAAAATATAGGATATGGTGTAGCTGTGAAAAATAAACGACAAGATATAATACGAATGGTAGTTTAGCTCATCTAGTAATTATGATTTGCTATTAGCACATTCATAAATCTTTTAATTGATGACTAATTTTGAAACCTAATAGTATTCAAAACAAGGAACTACTTAAATAACCGGGACAAACTAATTATCTTTTAATTCATTTTGATAATTAATCTAAGATATTTAAAAAATTATTTGTTATACACGACGGTGCCGTACTTAGAATTTGTTCATAGGAAGTATTATACAAAACTAAATGTTTTGCCATCTCCAAAATTTCATCTTCATCGCACGTTTATTTTTATCATGGCAGATCAAATTCTACGAGACCCCCCCCCTCCATGAACTGTGTATTGAAATATGTCATTTATAATTGCTCCAGAGGCTAGACATGATCGTGAAAAATATCAAATTACTAACGGAACGAATGGGATCGCGTGGCTTCAAGTTAAAGACGTTTTCAAATCGACTGATAAATATAAATACAGTTATGAACTTGGGCACTGAACGTGAGTTATAAAACGGCCTATGATATCACTCAAAGGCTATTGTATAATCAATTGTATACAGAGTCGTTGAAACTACAAATCCTTTCTGATGATAAGTATCTATGTTTCGCAGACGTATATAAACTTATATGCGCCGCTAAAACTAATAGCTATAGTAAAATAGCTACGACCAAAACGAAACATTTTATTAGTATCTATACGCTTCCGGAAGTTGCTTGGAGGCAACGACTTTCAACTAAATGTTTGCCCATCTCGGAACACTCATTTTCGCCACCACCCCTACGTCCTGTCAAAAGAGACCCAACTGGCACTACGGTGGAAGGAACCCATTTAGTTTATGGACGGTCGTTTGTACAAGGAGACGAGAGCGTGATATTTAAAAAAAAACAAGTAAAAGAAATAAAGCAAACCCTCTTAAGCACGAGAAGGAGAATTGTCGCCGCGGGAACCAAAAATCCGGTTTTACGTGCTCGGAAACATTTATTATATTTTATTTCAGCATATACGCCGACCATATAGTTAACCCCCAAGCAAACGGATTTTCATTTTTCTGCAGAGTGGAATCAAAATGAACCCTGCAGTTCATACGGCCTCGGTGCTCGTAAAATAATATGATTGATGTGGCTCGCTTTGTTTTTAACGTCTCGATACAGGGTCAAATAATCCAACAAACGTTCACCGTACAGCTCTCATTCACAACGATTCTCGAGAAATACATTAGAAAGATAGAAAATTGAGAAGTATTTTATTAAAATATAAACGCAACGATAGTAACTTTCAGCGAACATAGCTTCATTGGTTACGGATGTAAACAAACTAGAACCTGAACGATAATTAAATATACAGATCAAATGATACGATTATTTATTGAACAATTGTACTATTAACAAAAATAACCGTTAAAACGATTTTCCGCGTCATAGCCAGCGATATTTTTTAAAACATTATTTTGGTATACTAATGAACACACAATTTGTAAACCTATTGTCCTTCATTATCAAAATTTGTGCTTTAATTATTTTAAGGTGTAAATAATTTAATAAATAAACATCAAATAAGTTTAATTATTATGTTTCAGGTATCAAAAACATAACAGTTGAATTTAATATTTATTGATCGATGAACTGATAATGTTAATTGGCATTTAATTTTTTGGTCCCATTACAATTAAAAAGAATATTAGATCAAACTATTAAACCCGTAAAGACTATTAATGGCATATTGAATGGCTTCGATTGGCTTTTACTTACTATGTTTTACTACTAAACCACTTTTGTTTCCTGGACCATTAATAGTGTTTGATAAAATTTACTATAAGAAAAATGTTGCCATCGGGATTTTTTTTTTTTTGACCGAAGTTTACCTCATTTTCATTGGACATTGTTGGCGTACGCAAAATGTGAACCATAGTAAAATATCAGAGTCCTTAGGGGACAATTTATTCCAACGGATATGCGGTCAGCTTAGTTCGTGGCGTGATAAAACTTTTGTTTTTCCGTACAATTTAAAACGAAAAACAGGACAGCAATAAAATGTTAATCGACGATTCCAAAAAAGGGACTTCAATGAAGAATAAATATACAGCAGGACGCGTCCAATGGATGTATATCGCTTTAACTCACCTAAGGATTTTCTTCAGATAACATTTAGATCACAGTGATCGCCCTTTAGAGAATTATAAAGTTAAAGTCTACATAAGATAAATCAAGAACATCAAATTTACTATGATTTATGTTTTAATTAAAAAACATTTCTTGAGTAGATAGTTGTTTACCGAAATATAATATATTATCGTTTTAGATAAAATAAACTAATATAAAAAAAATCTTTAAAGTAAAATTATCAATTCCCATAGACGAGCCAAAAAATGTTTTACTGGATTTATCAAGTTAAACGTTTATGTACAACGCTTAAGACAAAGTTATTAAGTTGATTAAAGAATGAATTAACAAAATAAAGAAAATTTAAATTTCATGTAATGTCATGACATTTTAAAAAGCACTCAATTAAAAAACGCTGTTGTTTCAAGTCGACAATGCTATAATATATTAAAATAATAATTTGTTTAAGTGCTTTATTACTTAAGAATACGCTTCTTAAAATCAAAAAAAAAAACAATTTTTATTTTTATAATTTTTAAAATTATTATGTATAATTTTTTTAAACATTAATAATAACCAATATTCACGAATTTACTTTTTTTTAATTTAAAAATAGTTCAAAACCAAAAATAAAAATAATTTGAAAATTTTTAATATTTTGTTTAACAAAATACTTTTCTATAATCGTCCCTGCTTATATGATCAATCTTCACTAGTAATTTAGTTTGTTTGGATTTTAACGAGAAGACTCAGTATTTAACATAAATAATAATATTTAATTCAAATTTTCAATACAAAAATATTTTATTTTTCATTCATTATATGGATATTTTCAAAAAAACTCTAATATTTAATCCATTTATAGTTTGAACTATAGTCAAAATTAGTATTAAGATTTTTATTGAAAATTAAAAATAATCAAAAACTCATAACTAAGTCAAAAAAAATTAAACAATGTTGCTTACAAAAACAATAGTAAACTTTTGTTCAACAAACAAACTATTCAATACACATAATCTTTTGTTGTTATCATACTAACAAATCAAATTTAACCTCTAACTAGTATGATAATCTACGAATATATTATCCTGATTTTGTACAAAATTCCATGCCGAGAATCTACTTAATTGTCATTACAAAGTCATCCTCTCAAAATCATCAGGATTATGTTCATCTGAAATTAAGTTTTCAGTAATAAGCATTTCAAGTGTAACATTAAAAACTGATTTTGCTTTATTATCATGTTCCATGTTTTTGAAACTACTTTCCACTGACTCTTGATCTTCAGTTACAAACATTTCAGTGTTAGTTATTAGAACAGGTCGCCGTGAAAATGATAAAAAAAACTGTTCAAATATATCCCCAGACTATTTTAAAGTGGTCTAGTCTAATTTAAAGTTCGCAGCCAACATTCAAAGCTGTTTCTGCTTCATTTTTATAATCAAAATTAGTCTGTTCTATATTATTAGAACTAATTTCAACTGAAACCGAATTTTCAGTCATTTAAGTTTCGGTATTGGCTACTGGAGTATGTACTCTTTGCCTTAAAAATCGTCGTTTCCTGCATAAACATTCATATAAAAATTAATATTAAATAATAATATTGCTTACTTGTACATTTAATTTGTGTTTAATGCTGTTTATTATCTGTACTGATAATCTTTTTGGCGTTATTCAATAAGTAATAATAATAAAAAGATATAACAAAAAGATGAAAATCTTGTTGTTATAATTCGATTATAATTATAAAAAAAAATTATTATTCAAATATTTGTGTAGTTAAATTCGATCATAAATTTGTTTATTAACTAGTATCGTAGTAACGAAAAATAATAAAATACACTAATTTTACCTATCAAGAAAATCAACTATATTGACATTGGTTTTTTGTTTATTTGATGTCTCAACACTATTACTTTTAAAGTCTAAACTTGTGAACGAGTGTTTTCACGATAAGTTTACATTAAAATTATACAAATTAGGCTTACGTTTCAATCTAATACATTTTATATAATTCATAATTTATTTAAAATTTGAAAATAATTTATCTGATTACAGACTTATTTTCTAAGTACATTTTAAACATTATAAATAATTACAAGATTTTTCAAGCAATTTCGCAACTTCATTTTTTGATTAAAATTAAAACTATATTAAAAATGTTATTAATTTAAAAGTAAAAAATATTAAATTAAAAAAAAAATTACTAAGAAAACGTGGATACGTATTTCGGGAACAGTGTTACCATTATCAACACTAAACACATACTGTATTTACTTTAATTAAATGAATTATTTTAATATTAAAAAAATATCGATTATACACTACATCTCTTTCAAAATATTCATTAATTTCGATTAGTTTTATTTATACTAAGAAATTACTTTCTTTTTTTTTTTTTGATCCACTTTGGTCAGTTAATTCAATCCTTTTTCTTTTTACGGAAGGTTTTTTCATGTTAATATCAAAGCTATTCGATAAACTTGGACATTCGTCTGACCTGTCACAATTGAAAAATGTTGATCCACTTTAAATGGTATCTTTTTCTTTAGTGTTTTACAGTTTCTACACTGATAATAATTTGTAACTCAAAAGTATCAAATTCGCATGTACAACACGAAATACTCTCAAATGCAAAACTTTAACTGAATAATGTTGAAAAAATCATTGAACTGCTTTTCAAAAATATACAAATTGTTTAAATTTGAAGTTTCGAAAAAAAAAATCAGTATCCAAGATTATTTAAAAATATAATTTTATAAATCACATTAAGTGTTCTCACAATAAAAGTCTATAAAAAAAAATTGAAACTTCAATAGTACAGTATTTATTTTCAAATACCGTTAACTTAAGCTTTTTTAGTGAGTATGGTTTAAATATACTAATATTCATTTATATAAAAAAAAAATTAAATTCTTATCACACAATAAAATTCGGTATAATTAATAATTTATTATTTATTGTGCATAGTAAACAATTACTATAGAAAGCTTTGTAAATGATGAAATACCCTCTAGGCTTTTTTATCATAATATTTTATGTATACGTTTGATTCATACGTGTCTACCACCTGGACCATAATTTATACTTAGCAACCTACTTCGACGTTTTATCATTTTACAAGATATTTGGTTACTCCGCTCTTGGTGTCCTCATCATAGTTCACAATCATAAAGGACTAAGTAAAGGTATTCCTTTAAAATATAGTTATTCCACAAGAGATATTTTGACAGCTATACCGTAAAAATGACATTTCAGTCATTATTACGTGTCTACGATAAAACTTAACGAATGGTAAATTAATTTTTGTGCAACTGCAATCTATTTCTATTGTTCCCCTGGACTGTTGTTTTTCCAGTAACAACGTCAAAATAGGCTCGAAAATTGTTTTCACCTACCTTGTAATTTAACTTATAGTTTATAAATTTATTAATATGATTTTCTTTATGGTGTCAAGCATAACAAACAAATAATTTGGGAGTGGGTTTTTTTTCCCCACCAAAGTTTTTTTACTCTGAAACGCTATTTAAAAAAAAATAAAATGAGCAAATATTGAAAATTATTGGGGTAGGGGTTACAACCCTCAACCACCAATTATTGCGCTACTACAAGCTATTTATCAATCTTTAAAAAAAGATCGTCTAATCCTAGTCCATTGCTTGAAAAAGTTAAAACACTGGCACTATTCTTTAATCTTCTAAATAAATTAAAAATAATAAATAAATATTACATTATTTAATTATTAAGCAAATAAATACATAAGTTATTTTTTTACTCATTCAAATTTTAAAAATAGCCATTTTTTAGCTTTTTTCTTTCAACATATTTTGGTGAGTCAATAATAACTTTAGGATAATTAATTATTGAGTTACAAGCATTATAATATATTAAGTAATAACTATATAGCTCAATAACTATACTAACTGTATGTATTTCATGCTAATGATGGTAACTTTTGAGTTAAATATTTTTATTATTTTTTTAAATTTAAATTAATATCAATCTAATAAGTTTTCTATTATTGATATTTTCAATATTAAAGTGAATAAAAAAAAGACTCATTTGTTTATACAATTATTTAAATATTAATATAATACTACATAACCACAATATACCACTAAGAAATGTATAAAATAAGAACATCAGCATTCAATATAATAATTTTTTTTCAATATAGATTCCTAAACACATTTTAGAACAAATATTTGATTACTTTAAATATAGAAATAATTTAATATAGAAGCAAATAATTGTTGGGAAATCAAATAAAAATTTTCTTATTTTACATAATTGCATATCAATTTCATTAATTTTATTTTTAATATTTATAAAAGAAAGTTTTTGTTAACGAGTTTGATAAATTATCAAATAATATAATAATATTTGAAAATTTAATATCAGAAATGGGAATTAGAATTTACGTATGATCTCAAAAAATAAATAAAACCTGTAAAACTTTAGGAAAATATTGTCTTGATACATTTAATACAAGTATAACGACTTACTATTTCTGCAGTCCAAAAGAATATTTAACATTAAAATATAAATTTTTTGTCAAAAAGTTCATAAATTTCAAAAAATAAATACATTGAAATCAAAATTGATACATGAGCATTTAACAATTAACTAAACTTTATACATCATTTGCGAATTATCATTAAAATAATTATGATTGTTTTATGAAGTGTAATTTTTTTGCTATCGTACTCTATTATTGAATCAACTGACTATTTTGATTAGGAAAAATGGATAATTAACTGTTTTTAAAAATTAACATTATCTGTACCAATATGTAAATGTGAAGAATTTTTTTTTATAATTTAATGATAAATTGATTTATTTTGATTTTGAACTGAATTAATTTCGCGTGTAAAATCTTTCATTAATAAATTAATTTTTTTAATAACATCATCTGAATTAAAAATCACGGAGGAATTTTTCTTGCACTTCCTTATTTTTGGATTATTTGGTATACAATTTTTAGGAACTAGAGTTACTTCAACTTTATCATCAATAACTTTTTGTATTTCCGTAATACCGATAGTAACTTCAGCAGCTTTGTGAGAAGTTAAGAATATTTGTCGTAAGAATCGTTCGTCTTTCACATCTTCATTGACTGGAATAAATTCCAGTGGTGGCGTTTTTTGTGGTTCTTCTTCGTCTAATGTTACAGTGGCACCAAACAAAAGATAAGGTCCTCTAAACGGTATATCTGTAATCCTAAAAACGTTTAAAGATTAGATTAATCCCATTTAAAATTATTTTTAATAATTTAAATTTAAAACTAGACAAAATGAAAAGAAAAAATTCCTTTAATGAACCATTTCAATATATAATATAACATAAAAATTACTGTTTTTTCCCCAAAAAATAAATAGAAATTAAATGACTCTACTTACTCGATTTTTGCATGAGGCCTGCTAGGGTCTATGAGATAAGTTGAAAGATCTACATCCGCATCTCGATTGGTGCCGTGTAACCAACTTTTGGGTCGATAAGGATAGTCATAATCTGAATAATGATCGCAAGATGGTACTTTCCTTTCTACTAATAAGCATACAGGACGCACAGTCTCTCGAACAAATATCTATCCAAAAAGTATAAAACATTGTTCCATTATGTTTTTTTTTATAACGCCAAATTAGCCGATTATATAAGATATCTAAAGCACGCGTTTGGCTACCTTCGTGCGTGACTAAGTTAATCACAGTTTTAAGTTATTTATCTAACCGTGGTACATGGTCTGTGTTGCATTAAAACTAACCTTGAACCTCTAGTACAAAAAAGTGAAATTATTCTGATGGAAATAATACAAAAAATTGTTTACTTTTGATACAAATAAAACACTTATTTTTCGTTTCAATGACGATATTATATACATAATAGCTATCTATTGGATGCAACATTATAAATACATTGAAAGACATTATCCTGCTCTTTCAAATATAAAAAAATACGATTATTTTATATCCAATAAAACATTATGTACCTTAATCATTGTTGCACAAGAAAGTATTCAGTTTAATATATATTTTTCATACCAAACTCATTTTTCCCTGAATATTACTTAAGACAGTTAATTTTAACATCACATCAGTGATAAAATGAAAATTAATTTTTTTATTAAAAAAAAAAAAATGTCTTACTGTTTGATATTTAGTGACCCCAAAACCAGTATTAAAAAATTTTGCTTGGTGATCGTGTACATCAACTTCGTACTGTGGAATGACTGGTAGGAAAATTGGGTCCGCAGGAGGTACCAAAAAATTATTCACGTAATTATCATACCGAAATAAATTAGGATTTTGAGGCATAATAAATTTCATGGTACATAAAAGAAGCGTAAGGAACAAGATCGATGACATAGTATATTGACGACATGAAAGAACAATTTATGATTTTTGAATTAATAGTTCACTGTACTTAGTGGACATTTAGTAGTAAAAATGGCAAATATCAATAAATACTAAGCGAGTGTTAATTGAAATTTCATTATACGTCAGCTTCATTAATTATAGTTAAACACTTAATTATTAGAAACTCAACTATTAAGTATGTATATCATGTGAGATAACATGGCGCCCAAATTTCAATCATTTCCCATTGAACAGTTAGGAAATTATTGTGATTTATTTCTAGAAAAATAAGTGATACTTTGTGAAATTACTAACTGGTATAATGAATATCATATTACCTCAGTAGAACTACTAACCGTTAAGAATAAAAATACACTCGACATTCATTTAAAAATCTAATTAACAGTTAGTGAAATGACTTTATAATTTTCATTAACTCTATGACGTACAAACTGCGTTAAAATTACACTGTAAGTAATGATCTCGAAATTCCCATACGCCAGTAAGATATTTTGAATACACATTAAGTTTAATTTTTCAAGAAGTATCAAGAATTCTTACACAATTATAACATTTTTCCTTGCATAGATTTCCATAAAAAATTTCAAAACATATATGTGAAAATTCGGATATAATTATTTAAGTGTTATTATATTGTACAATTGTGTATTTAACTTTATTTATAATAGAGTTCGACAAATTTTGGGTCATAATTTGTTTGAGTCAATTATTTTTTTATTCTGGTAGATTTTATGGCACTAAATCAAAATATGTCCAATTCTTTAATTTGATAGATTTAAGTTATCTTTTTTATTATGAACTATATTTTCATTAGGTTCTCACGTTAAAAGATATCAAGGAAAATAGGACAAAGTAATGGACATTTGGACTATAGTTAGAAACAAAAAAATTATTTCAACAAGAGAAAAAGTCTGACCATTCATTTGATTCATTCAAAAATTAATGTTCAACATTTATACATTTTTTTTTTAGTTACTTTTTGATATTTCGTATTTAACGTGAAAATATTAACAAGATTAGATTATTTTTAGTAAATTTGAACAGTTATAATGTATTATAATCATAAAATATAGCAATTAAGATTTTTAAAATTTTCTTTTTTTCTTTCATTTAATGACAATTATGTTCACTACAAATGATACAGTGAACTATATATAAGTATTTTTAAAATTCTCATAAAATTTTCTATATATATATGTATACAGTAAAAAAATATTACTCAAACTTTAAATTAAAAAAATTATAGCAAAAAGTTTGACTTTAATGTTTTAGAATAATTGTAAAATTTAACTTAAAGCATCCATAGCAGAGACAAAACCTTACGAATTGCTCCCAAATTTTGGTCAAATAATTGCTATTATAGTTAAAATAGATTACCTGAATTTGAAAATATATATATATATATATATATATATTTTTTTAAACTAAATAAGTGTACAAAAAAGGTAATTTTAGAAATACTCAGTTTGCGGATAAAATATTAAAGATAAGGCAAAAGTTAGGACATATTTTGAATCGGTGCAATAAAATCTTATAGTTATATCCTATAATTTTTAACTAATTAAAAAAAAAAATCTAATTGCAGATTTGAATAATATTTGAATGATTGCAGAATAATAAAAGTATATTTTTGAATTTGATGACGATTCTTTGTAAAACCTTTAATTCATAATTAACAATAAATTATTTTCTGAAAAGTATTGTATCTATACACGTTGGCTAAAAATTAATATTTATTTTAAAATTTTTTATACATTTTTGGAAAAAATTACAATACTAAATTAATAAATATCAATCTTATACTATATTTAATTGCAATAATAAATATTTATTCATATATTATACTTCTAAATAAAAAATCTACTGATCAGGAATAATAAAGGAAATAGGAATTAATTTTGCTTTTGGAATAATCCATCAATTTCTTAAAATTAAACACTATCTACAGATTTGCATAGGATTGTTTCTTATGGTAGTGATTAAAATAACTGTCAGATATCATCTATACTTGTCCCAACTATGTCACGCCCACACTGTGCTACCGGTTTTATATTTACCGTACAATATATTAAAACGTAATTCAATTTATTTTGTTTAACGTTTTCACGTTTTAATTTTTTAAGTTTAACGTTAAAAATGTTTAAAATATAATTTACTACCATAAACAGTTTTTAACATGTGGAAATGACTATTATTTTTCTATATAGGCATGCTGAGATTCGCGAACGACATGCAATAATAGCGGAGAATGAAAAAGATATAAAAAAAATTTTAGGAACACTGGAACAGGTGATGGAAAAATATTTACATATGAAAATAAAAGGAAACAAGACATAATCCTATTATGTAATAAAGACAATTACATAAGAACAAAAATAAATTTAAAGGACGATGAAACTGTAGAACAAGTAGAAGATTTCATATATTTGCGTAGCACTATGAGCTCAGATGGCAGATGCAAAAAGGATATTATAAAAAGAATATCCTAAGCTAAGGTGGCAGTTAATAAAAAAAAGAAGTCTTCAAAAAATATTGACCTTAATATTAGAAAGAATCTACTAATAACGTACATCTGGAGCATCATGTTATATGGATACAAAACATAGACTATTGCAAGATAAGAAATGAGAAGAATAGAGCCATTCGAAATGTGATGCTACAGGAGGATGGAAAAAATAAGTTGAACTGATATAATTACTAATGAAGAAGTTTTAAAAAGGGTATCTGAGAGGAATTTAATGTGGAAGAGTATACAGAAAAGGCGAAATAAATTAATAGATCATACTTTAGGACATGATGAGTTGCTATTATTTATCTTAGAAGGAAATTCCTTCTAAGATTATTCTTTTATTTATTTACTTCCTTTTATTTATTATTGCTTCGAGGAATATTGATGGAAAAAATCAAAGAAGAAGACTTATATTACAATACATAAGTCAGATAATAGAAGATAAAGGATGTAATTCATATAATGAGTTGAAGAGTAAGGTTAGTGATAGAAAAACATAGAAATTGCTGCAAACCAATCATTAGATTCAATACTGCAGAAGAAGAAGAATTAATTTTAGAATCTTTCCTTATAACTTAAGGTGTCAGATTTAATTTTTAAAATGAGAACATATATAGTTCCTTTTAAAATAAACTTTTTAGTTAAAATTTAATTATAATGATTTGATTTACGATGGTATAGATTCTTCTTTATATACACAATAATACTCTATAAAAATGTCAAAAACCCATTTTAACATTTTAGATATAAGCCACAGAATTATTGTAGTATGGGTTAAAGGATATACTTTAATTATTAGAAAATGATATTGATATTCTATAAATTATAGAATAATTTAAAACTATCAACAAAATGGTATCATTTTCATAACTTCTACCTTACGACTTGACAGGATTTAATACCGGCTAACAACATGATACAACCTCGTATGGTTGAGAGAGCCAGTATGGTGTAACAAAGTGTATGTCACTGTTAAAGTTCCCGAATGAAAACCTATCCAATAAACAACAGCAACCAGAGCACCGCAATTAGTTAATATGCTATGTGTCTATAGCATATTGTAAAAATGTAATAGTAAATAAATGAAAGTTTATTGATTTTTATGATACTATTTCGGCAATAGGGTCATTTCTATAATCACCTATTGGGGTTATTTAAAATAATGATGTGAAAATTAATACTTAAATCTATCTACCTTCAAAAAATAACAAAAAAATCACTATTTTTTTTATATATTCAACGCCTTTAAAAACAGTTTTCGACCAGAACTATCAAAAAGACAAGTTTTAGTATCATTTGAACTTCTAAATTTTATTTTGAGATACTCTTTAAAACAAATTCCTAAATATCTCAAAAGTTCTAACCCCTGCTTTGTAGAAATCAAAATTTCTAATGACAGGAATATTTTTACCACTGCTAATGGAGGCATGCCCCCTCATTTACACTACTGATATTAATAGCAACTGTTTTTTATTAATTCGACATTCGTGTTACAAACTAGTAGGTGCAATTTAGTGGTGGTTATATGGAAAAGGCGATAAGTATATCGCCCCTAATATAAAAATATTAAATATACATGCGTATTTTATCTAAGATAAATATAAAAAGTAGACTGACCTACATCATGGCGATAATTGTCTATGATTAACTATTTTAATTTCTAAATATACACTAAATATGTTTTTTTAACTATATCACAAAAATATCAAGACTTTATAATAAATTAAACAAAAGAAATAGTATTTTATAAATGTATTTTCATTTCTAAAATGAACAAATAAACTCTCAAATAAAGTGTTAGCTATTTAGTTATATTTTATAAAGACTTGGTCCTATTTAAAAAATTAAATTATAACTTTGACGTTACTCACTTTTCTCGTCTGACCTTTTAATTATTATTTAATTAAAAATAAACGAGCAATTATAATTGCACTTTAATCATGTTACTATTCAATTACGACCCCAATCACTTACACTAGAAACAATTAACGACAAACCTAAAATAAAGAGTTAGGGATTTATGTCAATTAAATAATTTTTCAAACATTAATTAATATTATATAATATTATTTTAAGAAATTTTTCTTTTAGCTTCTACGCGTAACTGAAAAGTTATTGGTTTTCCTATGTCGTTTTTTTAGCTTCGATGCGAAGCTGAGAAGGTATTGGTTTTACTATAAATGTGTTTTTTTTTGTGTGCCTGTTACTACTTTTTCTCAGCTCTTACCGAACGGATTTCTTTCAACGATACGTCAATCGTATCTAGTCGAAGACATTACTCTTCAAAATTGAAAAAATTTCCCTCGTTCCCCGTAAATGAGGGAAACCTCCAAAAAAATTACAAATTTAAAAATCGCTAATTTTCGAATTTTCTTCAATTTTTTTTACTAAAAACTGCCGTAACTTTTTTAAAAATAAACATATCAAT